CAGATTTAGGTTTAAAATAATTGATATTATGTATCAATAATAACATTGTACACAAACAAAATTATAATGCAGTGGAGTGATGTGTCCGGGAATTAAGAGAGAGAAAGGAAAATTGAACTTTTATAATTAACTCAAATGATAGAAAGATTATGTTATCTTAAATCGTAATTACATAATTTTCCTTTAAACTTATTTTTCTACTAATGAACATGTTCAAAACTCATTGTTTTATGGAAAAATTACTTGAGTGGATCCTTTTTTAAAAATAATTACTTATTTTAAATATACTCTTTAATTATTACCATTTATAGCAATATATAACAATACTATATGTTTTATTAGATTTGTCTTTCTCTTTTGCCTCTTTCTCCTTTTTCTCTCTCGCCTTTTTAATTTTTATCTCTTTTTCTTGCTCTTTCTCCCCTTTTTTCTTCATATTGTTCTTTTTCCCTTGTTTTCTTTCTGCTGCTGCTTTTTCTTTCTATTGTTTTTTCTTTCTTTTTTCTTTTTGTTGCACTTTCTCCCTCTCCCTCTTGCTCTTTTCCCCTTTCTCTCTCTCTATTTTCTTTCATATAGTCAATGATTCGTAGACTAAATAATTTTTTATTAATAATTAATTAATTAGACAAGTAATCTAATCGTAACAAATGAAGAGACATTATAAATTGCAAAATGAATTAAACTTGAATTAAAAATGTGTTCCACACATATTAAAGTTGAATTAGAAGAGAATTAATATGAATGCAAAATGTAGCAAACGAAAGAGCATTCTATGATCTGTAAACGGAATGAATTTGTATAACAATGAATTTCACAAGTAATTAAACGTAAAAAATCAACTAATAAATTGCAAAAATTAAAATTGTATTACACTAATATTAAACAAGTAAATAAATTAAACTTCCTTTAAAATTGTATTACACAATATTAAAGTTGAATTAGAAGAAATAATTAAGAATGAATGAAAAACGTAACTAACGAAAGACAAGACAACGATCTATAAACTGAATTAAACTTATATTATTCATGAATAAAACATGTATTATATGTGCCTTATAAATTATTTTTGGTTTGTATCACTAAGAACGTGAGTGATGTATTATAAGTGTGTTACCTAAATTACTTTAGTTCATATCATTAAAAATGGAGTGAAGTTTGCAATATGTATTATAAATGTAGGATGTATTATTCATGATTTTAATACAATTTTAATACAATTATGAAACATATCTAATACAAACGTGATATAGTTTCGTAAACTTCATCCTTTTTGAGATTCAATCTAATACTTCTCCTAAAATCAATTCTAAACTTAACCAAATCCTCTTTAAATTGAGATTTTAAACTCCAAATGATATTTTCAATTATTTGTAGGAACAATCTATCCAAACTAAAGAGCAAACAGGTAATCTAATCGTAATAAATGAAAAAAACCTAATAAATTGCCAAATGAATTAAACTTGAATTAAAAATGTATTACACACATATTAAAGTTGAATTAGAAGTGAATTAAATACGCATGCAAAATGTAGCAAACAAAAGAGCATTCTGTGATTTGTAAGCTGAATAAACCTTGTATCAATAATGAATTAAACAAGTAATTTAATCATAACAAATCAACCAATAAACTGTAAAATGAATTAACTTGTATTAAAAGTGTATTACACAAATATTAAAGTTGAATTAGAAGAGAGAATTAAGCATGGATAAAAAATGTAACTAATGAAAACACCAGACAATAACCTATAGAGTGAATTAAACTTATAACAATAATGAATTAAACAAGTAATCTAATAGCAACAAATAATAAACTACTAAATGAATTAAATTTGCATTAAAAGTGTATTACACAATATTAAAGTTGAATTAGAACAGAAAATTAAGAATAAATAAAAAAACATAACTAACGAAAGACAAGATAATAATCTATAGACTATATTAAACTTGTATTATTCATAAGTAAAACATGTATTATATGTGTCTTATAAATTATTTTGGTTTGTATCACTAAGAACATGAGTGATGTTTGCAATATGTATTAAAAATGGAGTGTGCATGTATTAATCATTTGGTTGGTATCACTAAGAAGAGAGTAAAGTTTGCAATATGTATTAGAAATGTATTGTTCATGAATAAACCTTATATTATACGTGTCTTATAAATTATTTGATTTGTATCACTAAGAAAATGAGTGATGGTTGCAATATGTATTATAAATGGATTGCTCATGAATAAAACTTATATTAGATATGTATTATAAATTATTTTAATTTATCACTAAGAAAATGAGTGACGGTTGCAATATGTATTAAAATGTAATGTGGATGTCTTAAAAAGATATTATTAGTGTATTACCTAAATTATTCTTGTTGGTATCACTAACAAAGGAGTGAAGCGTGCAATATGTATTATAAATGTACTATTCATGAATAAAACATGTATTATATATATCTTATAAATTATTTTGATTTGTACCACTAAGAAAAAGACGACGTTTGCAATATGTATTACAAATGTATTGTTCCTATATTATAAATGTATTAAGAGTGTGTTGCTTAAATTATTTTGGTTGATATCACTAAAAAGAGTGAAGTTTGTAATATGTATTATAAATGTATTGTTCATGATTTTAATTCAATTTTAATACAATTATGAAACATATCTAATACAACTTTAATACAATTGCGATACAGTTTCATAAACTTCACTTTTTTCGAGTTTCTATCTAATATTTCTCCTAAAATCAATTATAAACTTAACCAAACCCTCTTGAAATTGAGATATAAATTCCATACGACATTTTCAATAATTTGTAGGAACATCCTATCCAAACTAATCACAAATTCGTAAAATTCAAATAATGAATTCAAAATGTGAATCTTTATAATGACCATCAATGGTGAACTTTTGTTGTTGTAGTTTTAGAGATTTGAAATTTTTGCTTGAAAACATGATTTTGTATAAATTTTCATCTTTTCATTTCTTTTTTCGTTGTATTTTTTGGATAAAAATAATGAAATATGAAAAATTGATTTGTTATTTAAATGATAATTTGAAAGAAGAAGAAGAAATAAAAAAATAAAAAAAAAAAGAGAAAAGAAGAGTCGGAAGATAATAATTATAGAGAAAAGAAAGATGAAGAAGAATTAAAAAATAAAGAGGAAGAGGAAAAAGGGCCGAGAAAGAGGCAAGAGGCGGTACATTTTTCTTAATTTCAAAAAAATTGTTATATTTAGTTAGAAAAATTATATTGACATAAATGGTAAATATTTTTTTAATATAGCATATTTATGTGATTTACCCATTGTTTTATTGGGCTGGTCGGCCCACCCAAAGCCCAGCTAACCAATAAACATTTTTGTATAAATTATAGGAACCACATATTATAAGTACTAAATAACATCCTATCCCTTCTAGTTTTCTATTTACCAAAAATCCCTTAAAAATGATGTTTGCGGGATACATAGCGTTGTGCACGGGATACATTAGGTTTGATACATTCCACATAGCGGGATACATAACATTGTGCACAGGATATATTAGGTTTGATACATTCCACATAGCGAGATACATAGCGTTGTTTACGGGATACATGCGGGATACATAGCGTTGTGCACGGGATACATAGCGTTTGATACATTCCACATAGCGGGATACATAGCGTTGTGCACGGGATACATGCGGGATACATATGTAAATAAGGGATTTTTGAAATTTTTGAAATAAGTAGGGATAAATGGATATTAAGGTAAGTAAAGGAGTGTAGTTAAGTAATTTGTCCAACATTTTTTAGGGCTGTGCCGTACAACATTTTACCCCCAATTTCTACATTCTGGTAATCTAGTTTATCAACATGAACACATTATATATAATCAATACACTTCAATTGCATATGTTGTGACGAAATATATATAATCAATACACTTCAATTGCATATGTTGTGTATATATATATATAGGAAATTTATACTGTTACCATAAGAATATTGTGTATTCGTAGGAACTTATACATATTGTGTATATAAACGGTCAGATTTAACTTTTTCATCTGTAGCCTGTAGGAAAATTGCCACATCCAAAGGATTTATCTTTTACTCATCATTAATGTATATATATATTGTAGATTAAGTAATTTTAGTTATGAAGTGTTTTTTATTCATTACAAAATTGTTTTTTGGTAACTTTTCGTGAGATTTTTTTTTATTAAAATAGCAAATCGTAAAAGGTTTATAAAATTTCCTTGAGATGTTTATTTGTTTACCAAAAATGTCAATATTTTAGAAGATTAGATACAATATATGCAGCCCAATATTTTATTTTATTTTAATTTACAAAAGTGAAAAAGCGAATAATTGTTGAGAATTTGTCACTACATGACAAGCATGTACAGTAATTAGCATAACATAACCCATTATTTAATATATAGTAATTGGTAAAAAAAAATCGGTAATTTTTTTATGGTTATATTATAATTTAATTTTTGTATTTATAAAATAATAATAATTGGTGTTATTTATGATAAATTTTATAAGAAGATGAAAGAAAAATAAAATAGATCATCAAAATAAAAAACCCAAATCAACCGCGTTAAATTAAATTTTTTTATTTAAATAAAATATCACAAAAATGAATTTAAAATTAAGTTATTTCATTGATGTTTTGTTAGATGGAAAAAAGTATATTTGAGCCACTTATATAACGATAGAGCTATATATGTGAGCTACTTTTATACCGATATTGAAACCACAATTACATATTTAACTCTTTCCCATCTCATTTTTAATTTCTTCCAAAGTCAACTAATAATTATAACAATATATATATCCACGCCATACACGTCCCTTATGCATGCAAAAAAGCTTCATAATTTTACAGTATTCTAGTTAAAGGTCCTAAATTGTGCAACATATTATAAATATATATATTGTCTTCACTGAATTTTTCAGTGAGAAGTTTTTGTCTCATAGATTTTAAAAAAAAAAAATAAAAAAAATGAAGAAATTAGGATGAGTCTCCAACTGATAGGAAATCTATAAATCTCACTGGAGCCTTTTTGCTTTGTGAAGAAATATTATTATCACAGCCATTTTGTTGTTCCACTTCTTCATCTGTGCCCCTTCTAATTGCAATATGATCTATCACTTCACTTTTATTTGAGCCTGCAGTATTATTATTCACTTGTAGAAAATCATAACATTCCACTTCTTCATTCTTATCTGCAATTTCCACACCTAAATTACTTAATATAATTAATCACATGCATGTGCGCTAATAACGCGTAAAATAATTTATACACTATCAAGTCATGCGTACATCGTCTAAATATAACTACAATAAATAACAATCCATTATGACTGAGATACAACATGCATGCCCTTCCTAAATCTATCGTAAATTCCTTTTTTGCCGTCAGGGTTGGTGTGCATTAATATACCTTCCTATACTTCATTTATGAGATTTCACTGGGTATATTGTTATTGTAGTCCCTTCTAATTTCACTAGGCCCCTAAAATGATTTAACTTTAAAAATTTCAACAAGATCGATCGAGACTATAAAAAAAAGTATGTATAATTTAAATAATACAAGAATCACGGACAATAACTATTACGGTTAGAATCGACTATATAAATCTCCGATACCATAAATGTTCTGCTTGGATCTGTATTAGTATGATACTAATATTCTGCATGCACTTAAAGGATAATCTAACATTAGGTACTTCTTTAATATACTCTAGTTTCATCTCTAATATACTATTCCAAGAATATTCTTCGCTCCAGCAAGCACATGCACTAAACAATATATGTAGATTTTCATCTTCTATTTTTTTTTAAAATCTTTTGTTAGATTTTCCTGGAGTACTGTATATAAATTAAATCACTCAAAGAAATTAAGTGTGTTTGGTATAAATAATTATTTTTTTTCAAAAAAATAAACGGATTTCTTAATTATTTTCTTGTGTGCTAAGTATAATTTTTTTAATCCTAAAAACATTTGTATATAATCTAAACAAACACTATGAGAGGTGAGACATGGGTAGAGAGGTGGAGACGAGGGCTATAGGGGTTGGGAGAACACAATCAATCAATATGAATATCACTTTAATTTCTGAAACTTGTTTTCCCTATCGTACTTCAAGTAAGAAAATCAATCATTATCCTCATTTTTAGGGAACTATAGATAAAATATTTTTCAAAATTTTTGACCAACCGAACAGAGAGAAATAGGTAAACAATGAATAATATAGGTATACATACCTTGATCCATGTTGAAACGCCGAGGAATCATGTGGTTGAAATGAAGCTTATCTTTTGGATAAAAGGAATTATAAGTAGTACTGAATTGGTAACAATTAGAACTATATCTTTCTAATAATTGTTGATCATGATCAATATAACTTTTTCTCATATTATTGTCTTGTTTTTGGGCAGCTCTATTTGAATATATCTTAGATCTTTCTCTACATTTTCTGGACATAATAACATGCCAATGATTTTTCACAGCATTATCAGTACGACCAGGAAATAGCCTAGCTATCATTGCCCATCTATTCCCATGAATTCTATGTGATGAAAGAAGTCTTTCTTCTTCCTCTTCTGTGAATGGACTTCTGTTAATTCTTGGATCCAATTGATTGTACCATCTCAACCTACAACTCTTTCCTGTCAAAAATAAAGTTAACAATTTAATTAACATCATAATACATACATATATATATATATATATATATATATATATATATATATACCTCATTTGCACATCATGATTATACCAAAATCTTAAATTCTTCATTATAATACTCCCTATCCCTAATTACTTGTCCACTTTTGAATTGACACACCTATTAAGAAGTCAATAATTGACATAGTGAATTTACCGTTTTACCCCTATTAATTATGAAGTGGATGAATTAAGAACTTAATATTTTCAAGAAGTTCAACCCTTTTTAAAGTAATTAATTGAGGGTATAATAGGTAAAAAAAAATGTCCTTTCTTGATTTGTCAAAATGGACAAGTAATTAATTAGGGACAACTAAAAAAGAAAATGTGGACAAGTAATTAAGGACAGAGGTAGAGGGAGTAGGTAATTAGGTGATCACTTGCTAATGTCCTCGTTAAATCCATTGTCTTATATATCAGACGTGCGAGAGTGCATGCATGGGCGGAGTTAAGGGCTGAAGAGGTTACGTTCCATCCAGATTAATCTCTTTTGGTATAAAAAATTATATTGTTTATACAAGGTTAATGTTGTTTTTTTAATTATGTATATATATGATTGATGTTGAATTCTATTGATTTTTTCGGGTGTTTGCTTTTGTTGAGTTCATATATAGGATCTTTATGGGTGGGATGATTTCTTTATATGGTATTAGAGGATTAATGGTAAACGTGCGCAATCACCTAATGAGCTATCTTTTTGAGTTAAAGTGTTAAACTAAGCTCAAAATCTATTTTTCTTAACATGGTATTAGAGTTAACAAATGTGCATGAATTAGTTGAAAATTTTCTTTTTCCACTCATTTTCCGATAGCATATGGATGTGTTGATATTGAAGTATTATTGAAGCCCTAGAGGCATGTTATAAATAGAATACCGTACCCATGTTATATATACTGGTACAATAAAGATAATAGAAAAATAAGAATTCTACTACTCGATCCCTCCGACCATAAGATGTGTTTAAGCTTACATAACATGTAAAAGACTTTTCTATTTAATTACTTAAGCTTCGTGCTAAGTCAAAATCAGACAAACAGAATGAATAGTACTATAATTACTATTAATCGTTGAACGAAAGAGTGTTAGATGTTCACGATCGGTACCTGATCTGCCTTGCAAGTTTAGTGCAATAGCGTTCCAATTATGAGGTCCATATTTTGCAACTAACTCTCTCAATTTCTCATCTTCATGAGGCCTCCAATGCCCTCTGCTACACATGATCGATCGATCTAGACCGTCCAATAATAGACTATATACGATATAAATACTCGTAGCTTGATCAACTCTTTTTCTTGGTGATTCTTAATTTCCTTCTCCAAAAAGCTTCAATTAAAAGCACATAAAATTAATTGGTAACTTTTAACCTAGGTATAGAAAAAGATCATATAGTTGAAAAGTAAATCAGATCGATCATGAAAATTATATTAATCTTCAGATCGATAATAGAAACTTGAAATTAAAAAGTTGTACCTGAGATTGAGATAACAAGGCTAACAAACAAAGAAAATGATGAAAATGAATGGAGAGTAGTACATGAATTTATATTTATGGAAGAGACTTATAGGTTGCGTAGTTGGAGAGAATCTTGTTCTGCTTTCAACGTCTTTACTGTTTTTCTAACCTACATGACATCTGCTCATAACCCACCTTACACTAATCCTTTTCTATATTTTATTCATTGGAGTATTAATTAACAAAATATTTACACTTACCTTATCTATATTTTTTCCTCTTTTAGTTGTCGCGTTACCTCTTTTTTGGTTCATTAAGAAAAAATATTAAACAAATGTACTAGTTTATAATTAAGTTACATACTCCCAAGTTAACTTGATAAAATTATTTCTGTCTTTGATAAACTTATCAATAGTTATAACCATAATGATCCTCCTATTCAACTACTTCGACCATTTTTAAGCACCTAGTGTCTAAAGATTCAATCATTTTTGTAAACAACTTGATTGTTTTATCTTAAATATTGTGCACTAATCGTCTTTAATATTAAATGTATAGTTGAAAATAATTACCAACTTTAATCTTAAATTTTAATTTATTTTGGGAAGATTTTTCTGAGGGAAAGTGACTATTGATTTGGGATGTAAGGAGTAGTAATAGATAATATGTCTTATTTTTCAAGATTATTACAGATCTCAATTTTAAGGTAGTGTATATATATATCTTAAGGTGATTTTTATGATATAAGAAATTATTTACAATACATGACTATAACAACGCTACATAAAGTCACAAGTCTCTAAGTTTATCAAAAAAAACTTAATAAAACTTGAATATTGTTTCCATAATATTCGAGCGGAGATGTTAGAAACTTCAACCTATATATAGGAACACGAGCAGCACATCTTTTTCAAAATTAGGAATAATTCCACACATCGAACCTTCGACTAATAAGGTGAAAGTCATAAAAGCCAATCAACTTAATTAACCACAAATATTTTGCATATGTAGTACGAGTATATCTATATATAATATTGTATTGGCTTGTGTTTTATTTATTTGTTTATATTTGCAATAAAACTGTGGATTTTTGCTTTCAAATTAATAAAAAGGCGACTATAAGTAATTGTGGTGTATGATAATTGATAAGTATGGATTATATGACCTGGAAAAAGATGATAAATTGCCTAAAACATAAGTTTTCTTTATAACCATGATTAAGAAATTTAAAGAAAGTATATAAAACATTTTAGTTAAATACTAGTGGGTACTAGTAATAATGTCACACGGGCAAAATTACATGTCTGCCAATTACTCCTAATAGTTAAGCAAAACTCATGACTAGCTTTGGTCCAAACTTTATATTTACGCTCAAAAAACTCCACTTAATAATATATAAATAATCTATTCAAAGGTAAATAAACTACATTTTCTAAAATATAAAATTCATAAACTCAAAATTCTAACTAGTTAACCCCTAATGTCTCACGTGAAAAAAGTAATTAAAATTTAAAGGGAGTCATTAGTGCTGACATGGGAATTAACCTTCTTAGTCATGGGTCCTCTAACAACAATGATGTTACTAATTGATGACTAAACAAAAAAGTTAATGTTGCTTTTTTCTCGTTAATATAAAGTTCAACAAAATAGATTATATATCTTATTATAATCTGTTAAACATGAATAACGAAAATGCTATATTAATAAACTAAAGAAATAAGCAAAAAGTTGGTAATTGTTTTGTTTTGTTTCAAAAGATAACGAAAAGGTGTTGTTGACTTGTCATAAGACTACTTTCATATAGTTGGCCTAACTTAGGTTATTTTTACTATATTTTATTTTATGTGAAATTGGACTTGTTACAATTAAGGAAGTCTACATCTTTCAACCTCCATTTGTAAGCAAAACTTTATAAGTTTTTATATATGTCATGTATCCACCTAGTCCTTCTCGTTCGTAACAACTACCAACAAAAGAAAATTAATTTATGATTTTTATTGTATTGACGGTAAATTTGAAGCATAACTTAATCATCAAGCACATGAAAAGTATAAATTCGAAAGAATTCAGTATTGTTGATCAATTGAGGAATTTTCTAAACTATGTATATTTATTTAGGAATTCATTGAACTTGTACATTTTGTAAACTTCAATTATAAATTCGTCTCTGTAGTCCAGAAAAGATTAACAAGTAATCGCCTAATGGGTACATGGCAAAAGTATAAGCTTCATAATAATAATAATAATAAAAATAAATTTATATAGCATATTGATATATGTTGGACTAACCAACAAGGGTTGGTGGTGGAGTGATAAATACTCCTTCATCCTTGACTAGAGGTCTCTGGTTCGAGTTTCTCTGGGTAAGGAGTCGCCTTGGTTAGGGAGCGCGTTAACTCGGCGCAAATTCGAATTTAATCAGATCCAATCAGAGGCGTACTTTTCGACGCAAATTCAAATTTAGTCGGACTCCAAATTCAAAGGCGGGGCCAGAATTAGGAGTTTGAGGATCTAAATTTCCTTTTCTAAAAAAAGAGAAACTTTTTGTTGATAGTTGGAATTGAACCCCAACTCTAGCGTGAAAAACATTTCCACGAGACCACGACCCCTTCCTTAATTACCTCTAAGCTGTCAATTAGTTTTTTTTAGGGGATCACGAGGTAATATACATATATTTATTTAATTTTCTAATACAAATACATGATCTACGAAAAAGCTATTGGGTTCGTCCGAACCCACAAATCCCCACCTAACTAGCTCCGCCTCTGGCTCCAATGTGGATTCCAAAAAAAAATAAAAAAATATGTTGGACTAGATCTTGTGTCTTCACCGGTTTTACCTACTTCCTTAAACTCTTCATTTTATTTTCTCTTGATATGATTTACGCATGCATATCCACGTTTAAAGGTTCATCAGCATATATTGTCAAATTTAGGATACATATATAAGGAAAATACATGCATGCATATATTCTAAAATATTCATATTACGTACATATGGTGATATTAAGGGTGTGTTTGGTATGACTCAGAAAAATATAATATTTTTTTAGTTTTTCTATATTTGATTGGCTAAAAGACATTTTCTCTAAGAAAATAAGTACTTAAAAATTATAGAAAATTACTTCACCAAGGAAAGTAAAAATAAAATAAAATTCATAAGTGACATTTCAAATTCGTTATTTTTTGCGAAATATATTAGTTCTCCGTACTAAATATATATACCACAAAGTCTTGTTATGTATAAGTAATCGACTAGTCATCTATGTGTTGTCGCTCAGCCTTTTACACTCATACAGTCGTACCTATAAAAAGTTGGTTCATTTAACAAAGAGTAGTTAGCACACATGTAATTTGTTCATGAACCAATGGAAGTTAAGGAAATATAAAAGCGAACGTGCCTTTTAATTTGGTCTTATCTAATATATATACTCTCAAATTTTGTGTGCGGAAATAAACATTTAAGGGGGGTGTTTGGATTGACATTTTTTAAAGTGACTTATAAGTTAAAAGTCATAAGTTGGAAATACCCAATTTTTGACTTTTTTTGGTATTTTTTCAATCTTAAAAATGTGTTTTAAAGTATTTTTTGAGTTATTTAAATACTTCCAAAACTAAAAAAAATAGTATAAAATCCAAAAATCACTAAAAATAAGTCAATTTAAATATCTACATACTATCATAAAATTAAATACGTTATGTAGACATCGGATCCTACCTAACAAATCTCGCGCATTATAGTAAATACACATTTTCCCATTATACTATATACATTACCTTTGCACAAGACAATGATAGAGTTGTATCTAATTCATTTATGTACATAATGACTCAAAATATTGTTTAGATACGAACCAACTTCTGACACCTCGATAATTAATCTAGCATGCCTATCATACCAAATTAACAATCACACAAAGGAAATTCACAAACTATATGAATTTAAATTCAATGGCAAGAAAAACAACAATGTAATCATGCAATTATACTTCCTTTGCTTTGAGACATTGTGAAAATAAATTTAAAAGTAATTTTTATTTTCAAAAAATGAAATTTGGAAATTGTTCGAAGTTGAATTTCAAAAATAAAAAAAGAAAAAATTTCATGATCAAACGTCCGCCTGTTCTTTTCTTGTATGAGTATGTTCACCTAATCAATATGTTAGCTTGTCTGTTCAATTCATCATATCATTTTCTACACATTCTTTTACCTGAATTAAAATTTATAGGATTTGAAGCTACACAATTAAGTTTCTCAACTGCAAATTGCTAACTGAAAACTAACAGCTTAACCATTTGCAAGTTAAATAATTTTATTTTCCCATTTCCCTCTTGACATTTAAAATTAGGTATACACCTACCTGACCTAATTTATCTATTCTCATTAGGAAACTTATACTTCTTGTTTTAAGTAAGACAATAAATTTGTTATTCAATCATCTTCATTAAATTCCAAGATTGCACTTTTCTGTTACTTCATTTTAATTTCAGGTGAATATATACTTCAATGAACAATTAGTTTTTGGAATGTTAGGTAGAAGTATGTTAGGGAGGGTGTTCACGGTTTGGCGAAAATATCAAACCAAATCGATTGAAAGAACTTATATTTGGTATGAAATTTTAAAAATTCCATAATGTTTGATTTGATTTTTACTAAAATAATAATAATAAAATAATTAAATTGAACCGATAATTTGTATACATAAATTTTATAACTATTTGAATATATGATATTCTATTTTTCATAAATAATTATACTTATTTTATACCTTTT